AAAGAGTGTTCCAGGGAGAAAGAACAGCAAGTGCAAATGCCCTGAGGTATGTCTGGGGAACAGAAGAGAGGCCAGTGGGGCTGCAGGATGATGAGCAATGGGAAAAGGAGGGTGAGATAAGGTTGGAGAAGTAGGCAAGGCCCTGTAATGTAGAGCTCTATGGGTGAGGGTAAGAAATCAGGATGTGATTTTAAGTTTCCTGGGCCGCATGTGAGGTCTGAGTCTTGAATTACCCAGGCAAACAAAAGGGAAGGGTGTTCCAGTTAGTGGGCAAGGCTTGAGCAAAGGCCCAGAGGGCAGAAATCTTCACCACTAGCCAAGGACACTCCTTAGATGACACTCACCTTCCCACTTCCACAGGGTGGCCCTGGATGTGTCCTTCCACTGCAAGCCTGCCACAAAGGGCAGCCGCCCATTGTACTGCACCTTCACGTATGTGCTGCTCTCCACGTGGGGCTGGCGGAGGGTCAAGTGGTGCAGCTGCGTATGGCAATCCACCTGCCTCGCGGGCACCTGCAGCACAAACTGGAGAAGACCCACACCCAAGATGCAAATCAAATCATGCTGTTCCTGACCTAGAACATTCCACTGGCTCTCCACTGCAACCTGAGATCCCTGGCTACCAGGAATTGCCCCACCCCACCCCCAAAAGAAACCCTGCACTCATTAGCAGTCACTCCCCATTGCCTCCTTCCCATAGACCCCAGAAACCTTTAACCTACTTTCTGTCTCTATGAGTTTACCTATTCTGGACATGGCTTACAAACAGAATCATACAGTCTGTGGCCTTTGGTGTCTGGCTTCTTTCACTTAGCATGATGCTTTCAAGGTTCATCCATGTTGTAGCAGGTGTCAGAAGTTCATTTTTATTACTGAATAACGTTCTATTGTGTGGATAAATCACTTTATCTATTCATCCATTGATGAACATTTGGGTTGTTTCTACTTTGGGGTTATTATGAATAATGCTGCTATAAATGTTTTGTGTGGAAATAAGTTTTCAATTCTCTTGAGTACCTAGGAGTAGAATTGTTGGGTCATATGGTAACTCTGTGTTTAACATTTTAAGGAAACACCAAACTCTTTTTCCGGTCACACCATTTTATGATCCCACCAATAAGAGTTCTAATTTCCCTGCATCCTCACCAACAGTTGTTATTGTCTTTTTTTTTTTTTCCGTTTCAGTTATGCTAGTGGATTTGAAGCAGCATCTCACTGTGGTTTTGATTTGAATTTCCCTACTGACTAATTAGGTTAAGCAACTTTTCATGTACTTATTGGCCACTTGTGTACCTTCTTCAGAGAAATATCTATTCAAATCCTTTGTCTTTTTCTTGTTAAGTTGTAAGAGTTCTTCACATATTCTGGATACAAATCTCTTATCAGACATACGATTTGAAGATGTTTTCTTCCCTTCTGTGGGCTGTTATTTCACTTCCTTGATGGTGTCCTTTGAAGCACAAATCTTTTTAAGTTTGATAAATACCAAAGTATTTTTGTTATTACTTATACTTTCAGTGTCATATCTCAGAAACCCTTGCCTAATCCAAGGTCATAAAGATTTACTCTTATGTTTTCCTCTAAGAGTTTCATAATTCTTAAATTTAGGTCTACAACCTATTTTGAGTTTGTTTTTTTTTTTATTTTGCGGTACGCGGGCCTCTCCCGTTGCAGAGCACGGGCTCCGGACGCGCAGACTCAGCGGCCATGGCTCACGGGCCCAGCCGCTCCGGGGCACGTAGGATCTTCCCGGACCGGGACACGAACCCATGTCCCCTGCATCGGCAGGCAAACTCTCAACCACTGCGCCACCAGGGAAGCCCGAGTTTGTTTTTATACATGGTATGAGGTAAGGGTCCAACTTCATACTCCTACACGTGAATATCCATTGTCCCAGCACCATTTGTTGAAAAGACTCTTCTTTCCCCTCTTCAATTATCTTGGCACCCTTGTCGAAAATCAACTAACTGTAAATACGAGGGTTTATTTCTGGATTCCCAATTCTACTCTGTTGGTCTATATGTCTATCCTTATACCACTACAATAATACTGTCTTAATTACTGTAGATTTGAAGTAAGTTTTGAAATCAATAAAAGTGAATCCTCTAACTTTGTTCTTCTCTTTCAAGACAGTTGTGTCTACTCTGGGTCCCTTGAAATTCCACATGAATTTTAGGATCAGCTTGTCAATTTTAGCAAAAAGATAACTCGGGTTTTGATAGGAATAGATGGGGACCATTGAATCTGTTGATCAATTTAGGAAGTATTGCCAACTTCACATCAAATATTCCAATCCAAGTACATGGGATGTCTTCCCATTTATTTAGGTTTTCTTGAATTTCTTTCAACAATGTTTTGTAGTTTTGACAGTATTAGGTTTACATTCTTTTGTTAAATTTATTCCTAAGTATTATTCTTTCTGATGGTAATGTAAATGAAATTGCTTTCTTAATTTCATTTTCAGGTTTTTCATTGCTAGTGTAGAGAAATACAACTAACTTTTGTATATTAATCCTGTATCCTGAAACTTTGATGAACTCATTTATTAGCTCTAATGGATTTTTCGGTGAGTTCATTCGGGTCTTCTATATACAAGATCGTATCACCTGTAAATAGAAATAGTTTTACTTCTTCCTTTCCAATCTAGATGCCTTTTCTTCATTTCTTTTTTCTTTTTCTTTTTTTTTTTTCTTTTTGGCCTAACCACCCTAGCTAGAACCTCCAGCACAATGTTAAATACAATGGTGAAAGCAGACATCCTATCTTGTTACTGATCTTAGGGGGAAAGTATTTAGCCTTTTGCCATTAAGTATGATATTAGCTGTGGGTTTTTCATAGATGGCCTTTATCAGGTTGAGGAAGTGCCCTTCCATTGCTAGACTGTTGGGTACTTTTATCATGAAAAGGTATATGGTGTTGTGCCAGATACTCTTCTGTGTCTATTGAAACGATCATGCGGTTTTTGTCCTTTATTCTATTAATATGATGTATTACCTTGATGGATGCTCAAATGTTAAACCAACCTTGCATTCCTGGGATAAACCCCATTTGGTCATGTTGTGTAATCCTTTTTATATATTGCTGAATTCAGTTTGGTAGTATTTTCTTGCAGATTTTGCATCTGTATTTATAAGAGTAATGGTCTTTAGTTTTTCTTTTCTTATGATGTCTTCCTCTGGTTTGGGCATCAGGATAATAATGGCTGCATAGAATGAACTGGGAAGAGTTTTGTCTTGACAGATCATTTAGTCAATTATTTTATAGTAAATTTATTTTATAGCAAATTAAGTCTGGCACTATTCAGTCCAGCCAAGAGGCTAAGAGCCTGAGGTTTGAAAGGAGGCAGACTGGACTTTCAATCCCAATTCTGCCACATAGTAGCCGTGAGACCTCAGCTAAGTCTGTTTACACCATTTCTCTCCTGTAAAGTGAGAACAGATAATTCTTGCCTCACAAGGATTAAATGAGATAATACAAACAAAGCCTCTGACACATAGTCTGGCAATAATTAATGGCTCACCATTGATCACTCTGCCTTTCCCTCTTCTACTCACTGTCAGTTTCTTAAAGATAAAGATTATCTTACTCATACCTGTCTCCCCAGAACCTAGCATGGTGTCTGCCACACTTATGAAGGCTTGCAGAAATGCTGCCACAAACCTCTAATCTCTTCACTAAAACCCTTGGGGCCAGATGTTTTCCAGAAATAAGAAACTTCTGCTTCTGTTGACAGAAGCAGGGCATGATTAGAGGTAGGCAATGTTATCCAAGGACAACTTCAATCAAGAATATGATGCAATAGGGGCTTCCCTGGTGGCGCAGTGGTTAAGACTCTGCCTGCCAATGCAGGAGACATGGGTTTGAGCTCAGGTCCGGGAAGATCCCACTTGCCGCGGAGCAACAAGCCCGTGTGCCACAACTACTTGAGCCTGTGCTCTAGAGCCCGCGAGCCACAACTACTGAAGCCCGCGTGCCTGAAGCGTGCTCCGCAACAAGAGAAGCCACCGCAATGAGAAGCCTGCACACCGCAGCGAAGAGTAGACCCTGCTCGCCACAACTAGAAAAAGCCCGTGCACAGCAATGAAGACCCAACGCAGCCAAAAATAAGTTAATTAATTAATTAACAACAACAACACATGAAGTTCTCCAAGATCCATTGCTAAAGGACATACAACATGACTCACCAAACAAAACTAAGTGCTTGTGACAGCTCCACAGAGCAAATGTATAGAAAAAGATCTCCTTTCCAGTTCTCCAGATTATAACCATGGTTCTCTCCAGGCAGCCTAGGAGGGGACCAGGAAAAGGGATGGTAACTGTGAAAGGGAATTTTAGCCTTACTTTAAATGTTATATTTTTTCACAAGGAGAATTTATTCATGGAGTATTGGTATGATTTAAAATCAACGTAATACTTAGGACTGAAGTTAAGCAGGGAGGCAAAAGACTTGTACACTGAAAACTACACAACATTGCTGAAAGAAATTAGAGAAGACATAAATAAATGGAAAGACATCTTGTGTTCATGAATTGGAAGACTTAATATTGTTAAGGTTCAATACTACCCAAAGCAATCTACAGATTTAATGCAATCCCTATCGAAATCTCAACGGTATTTTTTTGGAAGAAATAGAAAAGTCCATCTTAAAATTCATATGGAATCTCAAGGGACCCCCAAATAGCCAAAAAATCTTGAAAAAGAAGAACGAAGTGGGAGGTCTCACAAAGCTACAGTAATCAAAACTATATGATGTGACATAAAAGACAGACACATAGACCAATGGAATACAACAGATTGCCCAGAAATAAACTCTCACATTTATGGTTGGGGGAAAGGACTGTCTTTTCAACAAATGGTGCTGGAAAAACTGTATATTCAATGCAAAAGAATGAATATACACAGTTTAACTCAAAATGGATCAGAGACCTAAACATGAGAACTAAAACCGTAAAACTCTTAGAAGAAAACACGGGATTGAAAAGCTTCGTGACATTGGATTTGGCAATTGATTTATTGAACGTGACACCTAAAACACAGGCAACAAAAGTAAAAATAAATAAGATGAACGACATCAAAATTAAAAATTTTTGTGCAACAAAGAATGCTATTCATAGAGTAAAAAGGCAACCCACGGAATGGGAGAAAATATTTGTAAACTATATATCTTATAAGGCGTTAATATCCAGAACATATAAAGAACTACAATTGAACAACCACAACAACAAAATCAAACAACCTGATTCAAAATGGGCTGAGAATGTGAATAGACATTTCTCTAAAGATGATAATTAAACAGCCAATAAGCCCATGAAAAGATGCTCAATGTCATCAATCACTAAGGAAATGCAAATCAAAACTACAAGATCCTCATACGCATTAAGATGGCTACTATAAAAAAAAAAAACCAGAAATTAAGAAGTGTTGGTGAGGATGTAGAGAAACTGGAACCCTTGTGTGCTGATGTTAAGATGGTGAAATGGTACAGCTCCTATGGAAAAGAATATGGCAGTTTCTCAAAAAATTACAAGTCGGACTATTGTATGATCCAGCAATTCCACTTCAGGATATACACCCCAAAGAATGGAAATCAGGGACTCATACAGATATTAGTATACCCATGTTCATAGCAGCACTATTCACACAAGCCACATGTGGAAGCCAAGTGTCCACTGATGAATGAATGGATCAAAAAAACGGGGTCCATCCATACAGTGGAGTATTATGCAGACTAGGAAGGAAATTCTGACTCATGTTACAATGTGGATAAACCTTGAGGACATTATGCTAAGTGAAATAGGCCAGTCACAAAAAGGCAGATACTATACAATTCCACTTATATGAGTTTACCTAGAGTAGTGAAATTCAGAGAGACAGAAAGTAGATTGGTGGTTGCAGGGCCTGGGGGAGGGAAGGATGGAGAGTTACTGTTTAATGGGTACAGAGTTTCAGTTCTATGAGATGAAAAAGTTCTTGAGATAGACGGTGGTGATGGCCGCACAATATGAGTGTGCTTAATGCCGCTCATCTGTATGCCTAAAAATGGTGAAAATGGTCAACGTCACGTTATGTATATTTTACCACGATTAAACATTTTTAAAAACAATTAGGAAACTCAGAAAGGTAACGTGTGCCTTATAAGAGCACATAGCTGTTCAGGGGCTAAGCACTCAGTTACTCCTGATTTACCAAAAAGAGTTCACCCTCCAGGAAAACCTGCAAGTGAACCGTTTCCAAAATGCATTTTTACGCTGGAAATCTGTATTTCCCAAGCCCCTCTTGCAAACTGCCCCTTGGCAATCCTTGGCACACCAGCAAATGTTTAACTGCCCCAGGGGCGTGGGGGCTGGAGATGCCACAGGTAAGGTCTCTGAGCCTGAGTTTTAGCTCCTGCGTCCTTGCAACCAAGACCTGCAGGGACAGGCAGCGGGGCTGCCCAGCTGCCATGTGCAAGCTGAGCCCCAGGGACGCGGCTCTGCGGAGGCTGGACTCACCTCCATGAAGTAATTGCTCAGGGCTGGGCCCGAGTCGTTCTGGAAGGTCTGGCTGATGCAGAGGTGCCTCTCGTTGCGGCTGTCATCCCAGCGCCTCCCATAGCTCGCCTCCAGCTCCCAGTGGAGGTGGCCTGAGCCCTCCTCATGCCGCAGCTGGACCTGGGACACCCCACCAGGGAGACCCCCAAGGAAGCCTTGTGTACGCAGACCTGAGCCTCCTCACAGCCACCCGCCCTGAGATGCAGGCTTGCTTATCTGGGGTGATAGCTCTGTAGGATGTATGGATTTTTTTGCACTGGTTTTGATTTTGTAAAATATTGCATTAGAATACGATTCACCTTCACAGTTTCTGGTGTCCCCTTAAATTCTGGCCCCGAGGTGAAAAACTAACCTGCCCCACGCTGGTCCATGCCCTGATAAGGAGTAGAAAGAGCCAGCTGCCATGGGAAGATGACTCCTGATCTGCTTCATATGAACCCAAAATCTCCCCCTCCCCTCACTCTCCCACAGCAGCCTCCGGCTCCCTGGACAGATCCTCTGTGGATCAGGCCTTCCCACCTGTGGGCTCCTGGCAGCCACTGTCTCCTCCTACCTCTGAACCACAGGTCAAGGCAACACAGGCTCATCCATTTATTCACTCACTGAACACGTTTTCCCCCAAGTACCAAGTAGATACTTGGCTGGGCACTAGATAGCCAGGAATGAAGAAGCCAGAAGCCCCCTCCCCTTGTGGGGGCAACAGTTCAGGGGGAGAAGCAAACTTGTAACAATTAACAAAGGAACAGTCACTTTTACCTTTTGCTCACCCCACCAGCCACTCTGATGAACTACCAGGTCTTTAACCGCTCCAGTCACCCTCCAGCCCCAGGACCTTTGTACTTGCTGTTCCCTCTGCCTGTGGCACACTTCCTTGGGAACAGAACTATCTCACATTTTAATTTTCAGCTTAAAATCCATTTCCCCAAAGAAGCCTTCCCTGCTGCCCTGTCCAAATTAGACTCCCCTGTGCTACGCTCTCTCGGCCTCTGCCCTGTTTACCACCCATGGCACTTACGTTTCCCTTGATTTGGTCCATGTCTCTTGCTCTCTGCCACACACCCTCCCCCCAGCAATGGAATGGCAGAGACCAGGTGCTGCCTTAAGCACAGCTCTCTCCCAGTGCTGGGCATAGAGTAGGTATTTAATAAACATCAACCGAACAGGGGAAAGATGAGACTAAAGCTCCAATCCCTAATCCGTTCCCATACACGACCTTGAGTAAATACATCTCTCTGAGGATGGGTTCAGGGTGCTCACCCACCACTTCCCTAACCCCGGGGGCTCTCTCTAGACCCTCTGCCCAGCCCCGGCACCCACCTTGTGGCTGAATGCTGGGATCTGCGTGCAGTGGAGCTCGAGGTCCAGCTGCAGCTTGTAGGTGGCCTCTGAGCCGCTCTCCACCCGCAGTTTCTGCCTGGTGCTGCACTCTTGTGCCAGCTGCTTCGCCTGACCTGTGCAGGGCAACCCAAAAACCCCTGCCCTTCCTCTGCCAGGTAGCCCTCCATCCTCATTCCAAGCAGAGGAGCATCCAGTACAGCCCAGCTTCAGCCAGCCCCCTGGATCTGCCTCACCTAATGTCACTCATTGGAACCTGCCGACGGGGAGGTTTTAAGAGATAGATTTATGTCCCCCCAACACACACACACACACACACACACACACACGTGTAGTGTTTTTTGTTTGTTTTGTTTTGTTTTTTTAACAGGCAGGTGCTCAGCCCCATACAAAGCCAATGGAATGACTCACTAGCTAAGGAGCCTCATGGTGAGGCCAAAACACCTGAGGTGACAGTGGCACCTTAGCCCTCGGAGCCACAGCCCCAGGAGACGGTGCAGGTCCGGCCACTCCCCACCTCGCCCACAGCCAGCATGCGGTGCCGTACCCAGGAGGCCATACTTGATCCTCAGGGAGCTGGTCCAGAGGCGGGCCCGCTGCTGCAGCAGGCCTAGGGTGCGCAGCCCCACAAGCCCTGGCACGAAGAGCTCGCCACCCAGAGCCACCACCTGCTGCCCTTCCTCCGCCTTCTTCGCCAGCAGTGCTGCGGGGAGAGCAGGCATGGTGTGGTCATGGCCTGCGCCCCAGAGACTGACACCCTACCCCCAGCACCAGGTGAGGAAAGGAAGTGGGAACCGCCCAGGGGGGTATCCCGATAGAACCAATGCCTGGGTCTCCGCCAAGGAAGGCTGACATCAGGGCCACTGACAATGTTTTGCTCTGTCCAGGTGGCAACCCCAAAAGTCACTTTTGTGGGTCCAGACCAAAAGTTTTAAATAAAGTAGAACAAAATAGAATGGACCAGAAAATAAATGACAGTGCATCAAGGATCATCAGGTAAATTTCACCTTCTAAAACTTGTTTCTGCTACACTGATATTCAGCCAGATCACACAGGTATAGCCATGCAGGTTAAAATATCAAAAATGCATAGGCTTCCCTGGTGGCGCAGTGGTTGAGAGTCTGCCTGCCGATGCAGGGGACACGGGTTCGTGCCCCGGTCCGGGAGGATCCCACATGCTGTGGAGTGGCTGGGCCCGTGAGCCATGGACGCTGAGCCTGCGCGTCCGGAGCCTGTGCTCCGCAGCGGGAGAGGCCACAACAGTGAAAGGCCCGCGTACCGCAAAAAAAAAAAAAAAAAAAAGAAAAGCATAGGCCAGCTAGTCAACAGCCCTAGCCACTCACATCACTCCCCTGGAATCTCCGAGAACACCCCACGAGCAGCATCGCCAGGAGGGCTCCAAGCCAGCTCCGGCACCAGGGTGGGCATCTGGTCAGATTGGTCAGTACCCAGACCAGGCTGTGTGTTCAAGATACAAACAGCGCCCCATGCAGTTCGGGTCAAAATGTGAAATGTGTTTTTTACATGTTGTGTAACATGTAATGTGGGTCAGAATCCAAACACCCCAAAAGGTGCTGGTTGACGGTTCCTGCAGAGCAGTCGAGCGCACTGGAGGGGCATCTGGGGGACTCAGGCAGAAGCTGCGAGCAGATACAGAGCCTGGATTTTCCTTGGATGGAATGTGAATACTGGGGGATCGGGTGATGGGGACTCCAAGTGGGGCACTCCGCCCTCCCCTCCCCGAGCCTGGCTATTGAAGAAAGGTGGCAGAAAGGGGTCCCTCCTCCTACCTGACACGTGGGCCTGGTCACTCAGCAGGTTGCTCAGTGACATGGAGAAGGCCAGCCTGCTGCCTGCCTGCCGGCTGAGGTTCCCAGCGAGGACCACAGGGCTGCCCGATGTCACCAGTTTCACCTCCAGCTGGGCCTCGATCCGCTGAGCCTCACCACCTGCTGCTGGCCACAGGTTGCTCCGGCCCTGGAAAGGCCCCAGCATCCCTTGAGGGGACAGGCTCTGCCAGCAGGCTCCACCCAGACCGCAAGAAACAGGACCGGACAGAGGGCAGGAGACACAGCCTGGTTAATGGGCTTCTAGGCTGATCCTGCTGCAATTTCTTAAGCTCGATATTGTTCAAAATAGGTCATCCCTGTTACAAATTCAGACATAAGTTTGAAGGACCCTTCCTCTCTATCCCCCCAACCTCAACACCCCATCCTATCTATCAGGGACTCTGGCCAGCTCTCCCTGCAGAATATTCTGGGACCCGACCACTTCAGCCACCTCCACCACTGCCCCGGCTTGAGCCTGCTCATCGCCACTGTGTTCCTGTGACATTCTTCTCCCGGCTCTCCTGGCTCCCACCCTGGTGACCAGGGCAAGCCCTTCCATAGGATCATGGCACACCTCTCTTCCTCAGGGTAAAAGCCAAAGTCCTTGCAAAGACCAACAGGGCCAAGACTTTCTCCGGAAGTCAGCAGTGCAGCCCTGGCCAGACGAAGGCAAAACTGCCCACAGACACCGGGAGGCAGGACACACAGATGGCCCCAAACGTGCTGTCTGTCTCCATCGTTGAGGTTTTCCAGAGCAACTACAGCCCATAGCAATGACAGCTGTCATCTCTGACAGCCACCCCAACTGTAGGCCAATCCTAAGGACCTCTCTGCTGCTGCCAGCTTATCTGTTTACCCAAAAGATGTAAAAACGACCTCACTATTTCCAGACTGTTCACTACTTTATACTCTCTTGTAAATCCTGTTTTTGCCTTTGTTCCTTGACAACAGTCACAAATCACTCTCTTCTGATTACTCTTTGGCAAAGCCTTACATGATCTGTCCTCCCACCTTTCTGTCCCTTCTCCTATTCCGCTCCAAGCACATGGGGCCTCAGGCTGTGCTTCGGTGCACATTCCTGCCCCAGAACCTTTGCACATGTTGTGCTCTTTACTTGCAGTACCCTTCCCCCAGAGAACCACATGGCTCTCTTCTGCACACGCTTTATGTCTTAGCTAAAAGCTGTCTTCTCAATCAGGCTTAGCCTGTCAGCCTATTTTAAACTGAAGCCGTGGGACTTCCCTGGTGGTCCAGTGGCTAAGACTCCACACTCCCAATGCAGGGGGCCCGGGTTCGATCTCTGGTCAGGGAACTAGATCCCACATGCCGCAACTAAAGATCCCGCGTGCCGCTACTAAAGAAAGATCCCGCATGCTGCAACGAAGATCCAGCGTGCTGCAACTAAGACCCGGCGCAGCCAAATAAATTTTTTTAAAATAATAAAAATTTAAAAAAATAAAACTGAAGCCAACCCTCAGACCCTTCTTCTCACATAACTTAAGACCCCTGGATCCAGCTCACTGATTCCCTTTTCCTATAGTGCTTACACTCAGCTATCACCACAATTTGCTTATTTATTTTACTGATTATCTCTCCTATGAGAATGTAAGCTCCAAAAGGAGAGAATTCTGTGTGTGTATCTCTTTTGTGTGCTGTCTTCCCGGCACACTGTAGGTGCTTGATAGACAGTCGTTGAAGAAATTAATAAAGACAATGAAAAATATAGGTTTCGTTCCCCTTCTTGGTCTCCCAGTCTCCCTCAAGGCAACCACTGTGTCCACTTCTTGGGCATCTTCCAGAGACAGCATGGGCCTATATGTATGAGTCTGTATGTATGTGTGTATATGTGCGTGTGCACGCACGTGTGTGTACGTGTGCGCTCCATCACACACGTGCACTTCCCTCTTACTCTGCACAAAAACAGATGCAGGCTCTCCACTCTCCTCTGCTTCTCTCACTTAATGGTGTGTCTTGGAGATGATTTTCTCTGGTTTGTATCAGAAGCTTCTCGGCAGTCGCTATAGCTGTTCTCAAAGTGCAGCCCATGAACAGGATGACTGTAGAATTTCTCATCCAAACCAGGACACTTAACGGTTAAAGAGACCACTAATCATATTGAGCTGGGTCAATGGTAAACTGGGGCTCTCCAGGTAACCTGGGACTTGGGGATGCTCTATCATTGCACCCAGGGGAGAGGGCACTGAAATCTAACGCTTTCCTCCACGCCATCCTTAAACCCCATAAACACTCAACTGAGTCGAACCCAGCTTTGCTGCTTTGTATTCCTGAGCTCATCTGCCTTAGTTTCCTCATCTCCTATGGGCTTACCAAGAGGACTAAAAGAGGGACCTGGGGTCAAAGTCACCCGTGCCCCCCCCCCCCCACACAGAACAGGCTTTGGAAAGTTCCAGAGCCCCAGCTGTTACCATTAATCATGATGGGTCTGAGGCAGCTAGAACTGGAGTTCCTCTAAAGGCCAATGTTTCCAGGCTGCAGACAGCCCTCTGGAGAGCGGCAGGCAGGTCTGCAGGGAGGTGCAGGCAATTAGCACTTGTGCGCTTAGTGAACAGGGATTGCTTCAAGGGCTCCCGGGAGCTCTGAAAATGATTTGTAGTCTCAGCCGTCAAGCAGCTGGGGCTTTAGGGGGAAGATGCTCTCCCCTGATACTTGGTCTTCCCACCCAGAAAGGAAGCAGATCTAGGAGCTGAGAGTGTGTTTATGTAGCAAAAATTCCAGCCCTGGCTCCAGATTTTCAACCCAGACCTCTCTGAGAAATCACTGGAGACCGAGGCAGAATCACCAGACTCATGGCCAAAGGGGCCCAGAGGTCCTGCTTGGCAGGAGCGAGTCTACAGCTGCTGTTTTTATCCTTTTTGGAGTCACTGACCTGCTTGAGCATCAGATGGAAAGTCTAAACCCTCTCCCCAGAAGGGGGACAGACACAAAACTTCTGCACAATTGCAGGGGCTTCAATGGACCCACTGAGTCCCATCCAGGTCCTCCTGGTTGAGAACCTTAAAAAGTACCTATAACGAAGAGAAGAATGCACACACCTTTGCCCCAGGAATTCCACTGCTAAGAATTTACCCTGAAGATGGAAGGGTGATTTATAAGACCAAGAACCCGGGAAAAACTCCAGAGCCCTCCACTACGGAACCAGCTAAATAAATTCCATCCCACTGACTATTATGCGGCCATTCAAAATACATGGTAGACATTCTTGTTTTTAAAATAAAAGATGGGGGGGGGAATATATTGATATCTATTTGGGGATTGTGGGCATAGATGATTTCTAAGAGGAGTCACAGAAAATGAACAATGATTGGCTTTGAGGAGGGGTGTAAGGGAAAGTTTTTAACTGTATACCTGTGCTGACCAATAGAACTTTCTACAATGATGGGAAAGTTCTAAAAAGTGGCCAGTGCAGCTGAGAAACCATATCTTTAACTTTCTGTTACTCTGACTCACTTAAATAGTCATTTGTATGGGGGCCATCGTACTAGACACTCAGTTCTATGCCCTTCTGTACCTTTTGAACTTGGAATCATTTAAATGTATTACCTATTTTTTTTTTTTTTTTTTTTTTTTTCCCTTGCGTTATGCGGGCCTCTCACTGTTGTGGCCTCTCCCATCTGCGGAGCACAGGCTCCGGACGCGCAGGCCCAGCGGCCATGGCTCACGGGCCCAGCCGCTCCGCGGCACACGGGATCCTCCCGAAACGGGGCACGAACCCGCGTCTCCCGCATCGGCAGGCGGACTCTCAAGCACTGCGCCACCAGGGAAGCCCTTACCTATTTTTTTAACTAAATTAAATTGTACCAGTATGTTCTGGTACAAAAAGATATATTTTTGACTGAAAAAGCAAAGAATAAAACAAAAACTAAACTCAAAACTGAAAGGTTTTATAAATCTATAGTATTATGGGTTGAACTGTATTATGGGTTGAACTGTGCTCCCCCTCAAAAGAAGTTGAGGTCCTAACCCCCAGGACCTGTGACTGTGACCTTACTTGGAAAAAGGGACTTTGCAGATGATCCAATGAGTTCATTAGGATGGGCCCTAATCCAGCCTGACTGGTAAACTTACAAAAAGAGAAATCTGGACACAGATACCTACAGAAGGCAGACAATGTGGAGATACAGGGAGAAGACAGCCATCTACAAGCCAAGAAATGCCTGAGGCTACTAAAAACTAAGAGAGAAGCACGGACTAGATTCTCCCTCACAGCCCTTAGAAGGAACCAACCCTGCCAACACCTTGATTTTGAACTTCCAGCCTCCAGAACTGCAAGGGAAAATTTTCCATTGTTTAAGCACCCCCAAATTTGGGGCACTTTGTTAAGGCAGCCCTGGGGAACTCATACAGATTTCTTGGTGTGTGCATTGACATTTCTTCTGGAAATCTGGGGAGTGGCACTCTTTTACTTACCTTTTTATACCTTTCTCTACTCTGAATTTTTTAAAGCATGCTCCTGTGTTATTAATATTATCAATTTATGACATCAATAGTGGTGAGATTTGAGCTCATTTTTTTCTTCTTCCTACTCTTCTGGGTAACAAGAAGTCACAAACCTTATTGGTAGGCGGAAGGAGACGAACAGCTAAAACACCAAAGGAGGTGGTGATGAGTAAGCAGGGACTGGGGCTTGAAATGCCCAGGGAGGTGGCAGGAGCCAACACCGGTGGGCTGAGGACAGGGAACAAACCTTGATGTAGTAGACGTCCCTGTCGTCCAGTATCAGTTCCAGGTGACCCATGCAGGCACTTTGCAGAATGTCAAACTTTCCTGGGAGACAAAGCGAGAGTTTAGGGACCAGGGTTCAGCATCCTGGATCCGCCCCTGTGTTCACCAGGGGATGTCCTGCTGGTTTCCTAATCTCCGAGCCTGTGGCTCCTAGCCCATAAAACGGGGCTATATTTAGTGCCGACCTCAGAGGGTGGCTGAGGAATCCACAGTGAGCAGGCTGCATCTGGCACATGGCCGAGGGCACGGTGATGGGTAGGAACATTGTCATTACCATCCAGCTCAATTTTCTTCTTGGGATGGAGAAGCTTGAGCCGGAACTTCCTCTGGGGCCAGCTGTAGCTGACATCCACCCCGACGTCCCTGGGCACTTCCGACCTGGGCGTGCCCATGAAGACGTGCGCTGAGGCTTCTTGAGGGAGCCAGCAGTCCTTCTGGAAACACAGCAGAGTCCTCAAGATCAAGAACCCATCCAGGCCTCCCCCCACCTTCAAAAACTTGAGTTCTTATGCTTATCCTTGTCCTGTTAAGAACAGATATGAACCCCCAAACCAGGAATTGGGGGACCCGTATCCTGGAGGAGAGTCCTACAGGACAACTCAGGACCACGGGAACAGGATCTCAGCTTGTTCAGCCAACAGCCAGGGAAGGAGGCTTATCGCACACCATCGGCACCCTGCTCAGATCCCCTCGGACCCCTTGACCAGCTCAGCATGCTCATCTCCCAGCCTCTGTGCACTTTGCTCTTAACCCCTGGCACCTCCAGAGCATTGCCCTCCGGCACAGGAGGGAAAAACATCCCGGCTCCTTAGCCTCAAGGGGACCAAACTCTGAGGTGTAACTCCTGCTCCAGGGCTGCCCAGGGATCATACTGAGGCTGCCACCGCACCTGCCATCACTCCTGCTCAGCTTCTTCCCCTTCCCTACCCTATTTTCTCCACCCTCTTCCTGGGTCCTCCTGGAGTCTTTTCTTCATCCACACTTTTACCCAAATCCTTGGCTCCAGTCTGCTTCTGGGAAAACACAGCCTAAGACACGGGCCCCCTTTAAAAACCTGCATCAGGGACTTCCCTGGTGGTGCAGTGGTTAAGAATCCGCCTGCCAATGCAGGGGACACAGGTTCGAGGCCTGGTCCAGGAAGATCCCACATGCCGCAGAGCAACTAAGCCCATGCGCCACAACTACTGAGCCTGCACGCTAGAGCCCGCGAGCCACAACTACTGAGCCCGCATGCCACAACTGCCAAAGCCCACGTGCCTAGACCCCGTGCTCCGCAACAAGAGAAGCCACAATGAGCAGCCCACGTACTGCAAAGAAGACCCAACGTAGCCAAAAATAAATAAAAATTAATTAATTAATTAAAAAAAAACAACCCTGCATCATCGTCATTCATTTAGTACCAATAAATGTTGACTACTGTGTGTGAGGCACAGTTGCAGGCACAGGGAATGCAACTGAGTGTTAGACACAAAGTCCCGCCCTCTTGGCACCTACATTCTAGATGGGGAGGCACAGGACCTCCAGACACAGAAGTAGGTAAGACAGCAGCTCACCACCACCAGCTGCTGAGCACTCTGCTGACAAACTCAGAGGGTCAGGGGCCCTGACAGGGTCATTGTTCTGGACTGGGTGGTCAGGGAGGGAAGCTGTCTCTGAGGAGGGGGCATTTGATGAGACTTGAAGGAAGCAAGGGAAGGAGTTGAGTGGATGTCTGGGAAAGACTTCCAGGCAGAGGAAACAGACAGTGCAAAGGTCCTGGGGCAGCAATGCACTTGGCATTTAATAAAAAGGAGGTCGGTGTGTCTGGAGAGCGGTGAGCCTGGTAAACATTTGCGGAGATGGGGAGGAGAGGCCAGCATGGCTGGATCACTGAAAGCCTACTGGTCAGGGCGAGTGGGTCCTACTCTGAGAGGAATAGGAGCCACTGAAGAGTTCTGAGCAGGGGAGGGACACAGTCATTTTGGGATTTTGGAAGGTCTGTCTGGCTGCTGGTGGAGAACATATGGTAAGGAGACAAGAGCGGGAACTGGGAAATCAGATAGGGGGCTGCTGAGTGCCCATTCTGTGCCAGGTGCTGGGGACACAGGGGTGAGAAAAACAGGCACTGGATCTGTTCGCAGGAACTGAGTGACTAGTGGGGAAGACAGATCTTAACCAACTGGTTTCAGTAATGAACATAAATGTGATCTAAAGGGAAGGAACATGATCGTACTAGAGCACATAACAAGGGAATATGACCAGTTTGGGGTAATCAGGGCAGGCTTCACTGAGGAGGTGACCCCCCTAAAGTGAGCTCTGAAGATTGATTCAGAGTTACAAGTCATCAAGCCAGGGACAGAGGATCAGCATGTGCAAGGGTCCTGAGGCAGGAGGGAGACTACAGCAGGACCAGCCCAGCTGGTCCTGCTCCAGGGAGGAGGCCCATGTCTTTATGAGTGATCCCCAAGTCTGAGGCCTGAGTAGAAGACCTAGGGAGATCCAGAACCTGGCTGGGAAAGGAGGAGCCATTCCGTAGGGCCTACCGGGTGGTGGAGGGTATAGGCAGCTTCCAGCAGATAGTGTTGGAGCCCCCGGTCCTGCTTCTTCAGCATCACAGCTGCAAACACAGGCACGGAGAGCAGGTAGGGCTGCCTGGCTGGAGGCCAGCTCACTTCAGTGCACAGCTGCCAGCCCCAAGTGCGGGACACTGTGAGAAAGGGAGCAGGCAGCATGGTCAGTAGAAAGCCAGAGGGCTGGAGCAAAGAAGGAGCATCTCCACATTCTTTTGAGAAACAGTATTATGTAGACATTAACTGTATGAGGCGGTACTGTGTAGACCAGGGTTTCTCAGCCTTGGCGCTAACGACACACTGGTCTGGAAAATTTCTTGTTGTGGGAAGCTGTCCTGGACTCAACCCACTAGATACTGGTAGCACCTCCCGCACCAGGATGACACCCAATAATGTATCCAGACATCGCCAAATGTCCCCTGAGGGGCCAAAAATTGTCCCCAGTTGAGTACCCCTGGTGTAGACTATCAGAGTGTCAGGCAGTACTGTGTAGAACACAGGCTCTGGAGCAAGAATGCCTGGATCCACATTCCAGTTCTGCCACTTCCGGGCTGTGTGACCTTGGACAAGTTACTTAACATCTCTGTGCTTCGGTGTTTCTCATCTGTCAGCTGCGAGTGATAACAGCTCCAGCCCCATGGTGTAGCTGTGAGGATTAACAGCTCAGCAAGCATTTAGGACAGAATTTAGCCTAAAGAAATCATTTAAGTAGGCCCCTCCCCCACCTCACCCCCACCATGACTGCAAGATCTGTGACTGTTTGGTATACCTCCTTCCCCTCTGTTTTCAATTTTGTTGCCTTTCACCTGATGTTATTATCAAAAAATTTTCTCGTGCTATTAAAATATGCCCTTCATTACAGAGCTTAAAAGTTATGGGATATCTCAGTACTTTACTAAACCAGGAGTTGGCAAATGTTTTCTGTAAATGGCCAGATAGTAAATATTTGAGGTTCTGCTGGTCACACAGTCTGTTACTCAACTCTGCTGTTGCTGAAGAAAAGCCACAGGCAATGGGCGTGGCTCTGTACCAATAAAACGTCATTTATGGACACTGAAATATGAATTTCACAAATTTCTCTTGTTATGAAATAGTCCTTTTGATTATTTTTCTGCATTTGGAAATGTAAAAGTCTATTCTTAGCTCAAAGGCCCTTATAATAAGCCTACTGTTGGATATTTGAGTTGCTGCCTATTTTTTGCTCTGTAAATAATGAGGCAACGAACATCTTTGGGCACAGGGCATTTTTAAATGATTTTGGTTTATTTTCATAAGGTAGAGTTTTAGAAGCAGCATCATTGAGTTAAGGGGCATAAGTACTTTTAGGGCAGAAGAGTAACTCTGGAATTTGGACCTGGCATCTTACCCCTCAGCCCCCAGGACAACCATCTTGGGACAATGACATGGAGGCCCTGCTGGCACCTACCTTCCTTGTCGGTACAGGATTGGGCCTCAGAAGGGATGTGAGCGTGACTGAGGCTCCTCATGCCATCCCCAGTGATGAGAAACAGCTGAGAGCTGGGTGGGAAAGGAGGAAAGTGCCAGGCGAGTTGTTCTCATTCAACCATAAAGCCACCAGGGCAAGGCACTAAGGCAAATCCCACTATCAACAGGACAGGCCTTTGGGGAGTCTGCACACTGGTGGGGGAGACACTCCATGAACACAGAGGGTGACAAGCACTATGAAAAACCTAAAATGGGGCACGTCATGGTCATAGGGTCTGTCCTGGAGACAGAGCAGGACGTTCTTCAGCTCAGGGTTTGGAAAGGACTCTCTGTAGGGGTAACATTCGGTCAGAGAATCAAAGGATGAGAAGGAGCCAGCACTCCAAACAAAGGGAACAGCAGGTGCAAAGGCCCTGGGGTGGGAGAAAAGGGGGCTCTTTGGGAGCACAGATAAAAGGGTGGTGAGAGGGGGTCAGAATGGAAGGGGGTAGCGAAGGGCAGGAAGGAGTGACAGGAGACAGGTGAGGGGGGTGGGCAGGGCCTCCATCAGGCAGGAGAATCATGTGGAGCTGGGTTATCCTAGAAGCAAGCAAGGGATTTTAAACAGGGGAGGGGGGAGCACGATAGGACTTAACTGAAATTTTAAAGGACCCTACTGGCTGCTGCCAGGAGAGGGTCAGGAGGGCAGCAGTGCCTCCAGCAAGGGTGGGACACAGGGAAGGAGGCAGGTGGAGGTGGGGGCAGCCTGGCTTCTCCTGTTTCCTTGGAAATCACTGTTCTCTAAGTGTCACCTCTCCAGGGGGCTGGGGACAAGCAGGCCTCAGGAGGGACCCCCGTAAATTGCTGAGGAGTGTGTGAATCCCCACCTCTAGGCTGCCCTCAGTCCCTGTCACAGACACACCCACCCCACCTTGACACATGTGCACACACACGCACGCCCACGTACAGCCCACTCACTGACATGCGCACAAACATGTCCACAGACACACATTCACATACACAGACTTACAGGCACATCCTTAGGTGCACACACTCACAGATACACGTGGTCAGACACAGGTGCACATGCAAGGTGATCGTGCACACACTCTCACAGACACATGCACCCACACCTGTGCCCAGCCTGGCTCGCACACAGGTGCACTCACAGGCTCCCTCTCCAGGTGCAGGAACCCACCTGAAGCGGAGCAGCTCCACAGCCTCCTCGGGTGTGTTCAGATGCACCCTGAGGTCCTGGCCCTTCTTTATCCGGATCCCTCCATCCAGGCCGGCGGTGCCACGGACGCCGGTCACCCACCTCAGCCCAGCCTGCCCCAGGGTGCCCACTGTGCCCATCTGCGCCGAGATCTGGAACAGGGCTCTGAGGAAGAGGCACACAACTGCATCCTGAAGCCCCAGGCAACGGCAAAGCCAGCACCAACCCACCCGGCTGCTCTCCGTGGTCCTGAGCCAGAGCAGCCCCTCCACCATGGACACCACTGACCATGCACTCCATGTGTGCCAAGCACTCTACACATCGCCATCGAATCCTCACCATTACTAGTCTCATTTTACAGGTGGGGAAACCGAGGCTCAGAGAGGTGACACCAGCTGTGTGGGTCCCACAGTTGGGACATGGAACAGCCAGTTCTGGAGCCCCAGCTGACTGAGCCCAAACCCAGGGTCTCCATGCCAAAGAGCAGCCATCACAGCACACCCACACACCCCACATCAGACCCAGAAACCAAGGACAGGTCGGCTTAGTGGCTGGGACAGTCGCCCAGCAGGGCTAGGAAAGTGAGCATTGTCAAATTCTGCTCAAAATCCTTCGTGCCATGTGGCCCTGGGTCAGCTGTGCACTCATCCTGAGTCTCAGTTTCCTCAACCCTTAGTGGGAAGAAGGAAAGTGCCCACCTCGTGAGTGGCCATGTGGGTTCAGTGGGCTCAGAGCCCATGTGCCTTAAATGCTTTTCCCTCTCTCCCATCTCCCCTCCCCTCAGAGGCAGAGGGGGCAGAGGGAAGAGTGGAGTTGTGGCACGAGACGAATCTCAGCTGCCTCACGCTGCTGTGCCACCTCGGGCATGGAACCTCACCTTGCCAAGCCTCAGTCTTCTCACCTGTAAAGTGGGTGTAGCCGCCCAGGTTCTCCTCAAAGTCTCTTGGCACAAAAAACACTCCATCAACAGTAGCTGATACAACAGGTGGTCAGCAGAGCAGGGCTCCCCTCCAGCCCATGCTGATGCCCCAGCTCTCTGCAGGGGGAGGCCCCCACCCACCCACCTCTGAGAAGCCAGCTAGCTGGGCTTGACATAACCATTCACAGAGAAATCCGAGCGCTGCTGGAAGTTGGCTGTCCCTCCGACCTGGATGCTGATGGCAGCCGAGGCGTTTAGGGTCAGCCGGGCTAGGAGTCCAGACACGGTGGGAAAAGTGAGCTCCTCCATGGCTAGGTTCAGCCTTCGGTTCACCTGCACTTCCTGCCCCTGCAGTCAGAGAACTGTAAGAGTGCATGTGACGGCCTCACTTATCCCTAACACAGCCCTCAGAGGGGACCTTATCATTGTCTCCAGTTTCCAGATGAGAAAACAGAGCCCACAAACAGATAAAATAACCCGGCCGAGCCCATGTAGCTAGAAACAGGAAGAGCTGGGGTTTGAACCAAGGGACATGGTCAGAGGTCAAGCATCCAGGGTCAGCCAGGTAAGGAGGGGTGTGGGCCCTGCCTGTGGTACAGAGCACTTAGTATGTGCCAGGCACACTCTAAACGTGTTGTTGCATTTTTACGGCATTAAGTCACTTGATTCAACAGCTCTATGAAGTAGGTATTATTATACTATTACTATTCTATCATTCCCATTTCACAGATAAAGAAACTGAGGCCGTGGCAAGTTCAGCAACATGCCCAAGGAGGTAAGTGGTGCAGCCAGTTTTTGAACTTGGGCAGTCTGGCTCCAAATTCCATGCTCTTAAGTCTGAAAGTACTTTAGTATTTCCCCCAAAGCATCAAAGGAAACATCTTCGGACCAGAGGGCAGGGAGGAAGAGAGCCCAGCCTGAGGTACCTTCAGGAGCCTGACAGCAAGCTCGGCCAGGTTCAGGGACTGGCGTGTCACATGACTCCCCATCGCCCCGCAGTTCACAAAGCTCAACTCATGCCCAAAAACCTTCATGCTCAGCTTACACTGCAGCGCCCGCTGCTCCCGATGCCTCTGGGCCACCTGTGACCAGGAACAGGTCTGGGTTAACCGGGCAAGGTACCTGGACTTTGGGAGGGGGAAGGGGCACCTGGAGAGAAAAGTGAAGGGCTTGTGGGGTCCAGAACAGGGCTTGCAAAACTCATGGCCCAGAGGCAGAACCTGCAGATGTGCTTTCTTGGACCTGCACAGTTTTAGCAAACTTTATTTTGGAATAATTTTTGACATACAGAAAAGTTACTTCCCCAAAGAAGACATACAGATGGCCAAAAAGCACATGAAAAGATGCTCAACATCACTAATCATTAGAGAAATGCAAATCAAAACTACAATGAGCTATCACCTCACGTCTGTCAGAATGGCCATCATCAAAAAATTCTACAAACAATAAATGCTGGAGAGGGTGTGGAGAAAAGGGAACCCTCCTGCACTGTTGGTGGGAATGTAAATTGATACAGCCACTATGGAGAACAGTATGGAGGTTCCTTAAAAAACTAAAAATAGAACTACCATATGATCCAGCAATCCCACTACTGGGCATATACCCTGAGAAAACCATAATTTGAAAAGATACATGCCCCCCAATGTTCATTGCAGCACTGTTTACAATAACCAAGACGTGGAAGCAACCTAAATGTCCACTGACAGATGAATGGCTAAAGAAGATGTGGTACATATATACAGTGGAATATTACTCAGCCATAAAAAGAACAAAATAATGCCATTTGCAGCAACATGGATGGACCTAGAGACTGTCATACTGAGTGAAGTAAGTCAGACAGAGAAAGACAAATATCATATGATTCGCTTATAGGTGGAATCTAAAACAATGGTACAAATGAACTTATTTACAAAACAAAAACAGACTCACAGATATAGAAAACAAATTTATGGTTACCAAAGGGGAAAAGGGGCTGGGGAGGGATAAATTAGGAGTTTGGGATTAATATATACACACTACTATATATAAAATAGATAAATAACAAGGACCAACTGTATAGCACAGGGAACTATATTCAATATCTTGTAATAAGCTATAATGGAAAAGAATCTGAAAAAGTATATATGTGTGTGTGTATATATTCACCTATGTATGTATATATACATATGTGTATATATACATATGTATATGTATGTATACATATACGTATGCGTGTATACATAAATGTATGTATATGTATAACTGAATCACTTTGCTGTACAGCGGAAACTACCACAACATTACAATCAACTATACTTCTATAAAAAAAACTATTTGTGCAATAGAAAAAAGAAAGGAATGAACTACTGATACCTGCTACAATACAAATGAACCTTAAAAACGTGCTCAGTGAAAGAAGCCAGACACAAAAGGCCACATATTGTATGATTCTGTTTATATGAAGTGTCCACAATAGATAAATCTATAGAGACAGAAAGCACATTAGTGGTTGCCAGGGGCTGGGAGATGAGGGAATGGGGCGTGACCACTAATGAGCGTGGGGTCTCCTTGGGGTGATGAAAATGTTTGGAACTAGACAGAGGTGGTGGTTGCACAACGTTGTGAATATACTATGTGTCATTGAATTGTATACTTTAAAATAGTTAATTTTATGTTATGTGAACTTCACCTCATTTTGTTAAAGAGTACACGGTGAATGATTCCATTTATATTAAGTTCACAAAAGAAGCTGGATGTGACCTCTGCTGTCAACCATATTGAAGTAACAAGGACTGGATTTATCTTCCCACGTGGAGCAACAGACGAAACAGATTAAACAAAAGTTCCCAAGACATTAGACATCAGGTAATGTGAGACAATGAACCCGAGAGATGGGAAATAGCAAGGTGAGCCCCAGCTTACTGCCTGGAGAGAGCTCAGGCTGAGGTGCAGGGAGGGGAACAGCGGGGCATGACAGACTCTCAGGGCTGAGGATCTGGGAGTCCAGGGAGACCAAGGGAGCTGGACTTTGCAGGGCAGAGTACAAGAGAGGAAAGAGCCACACAGAGCAAGAACTCTGGAAATCTCCAGAGAGTCCCAAGGATCTCTGTAACGTTGCATTAGGCAAAGATTTCTTAGATGTAACACCCAAAACTTTATGCGTAAAAGAAATGGATAAACTTGAGTTCACTGAAATCAAGAACATCTGCTCTTCAAAAGACACTGTTAAGAGAACGAAAAGACCATGCCATACACTGGGAGAAAGTATTTGTAAGTCACATATCTGATACAAGCCTTGTGTTCAGAATAGAGCAGGAATTTTCAAAACTCAGTCATAAGAAGCCAACCGAATTTTTTAAAAAGGACAAAATATTTGAACGTACACTTCACCAAAGAGGTATGGATGACAAGTAAGCACCTAAAAGATGCCCAACACCAGTAGCATTAGGAAAATGTACTTTTAAAGCCCCAAGATATTACTACAAACAATTAGAATAGCAAAAACTAAAAAGTCTAATCCTACCACGTGTTGGCGAGGATGTACAAGAATTAAAACTCTCATACACTGCTGGTGGGAATGCAAACTGGTACAACTCTTCAGCAATTAAACATACAACTACCATATGATCTCAGCCATCCCATCCTTAGATATTTACCCAAGAGACATGAAAACATATATTTATATGAAGACTTGTACACGAATGTTCACAGCAGTCCTGCTTGTAACAGCCCCAAACAGGACATAACACAAATATGGACCAACAGGTGAATACATAAACAGACTGTGGTTCATCCATACCATGAACCACTACACGGCCACAGGAAGAAATAAACTATTAGTATTCTCTACAATATGGATGAATCTCAAGATAGTTACGCTGAATAAAGGAAGTCAGGCCAAAAAGGAGGACATGCTTTAAAAACAAAAGTATACGCTGCATAATTCCATTTATGCAACATTCCAGAAAATGCAAACATCTATCTTGACAGAAAAAGCCTATCACAACAGGGAGCAGGAGGAAGGGATTAAGAAGCACAAAGAAAACTTTGGGGGTGATGGATATGTTGATTTAGTTGGTGATGGTTTCATGGTATATACATATGTCAAAACTTATCAAATTGTACAATTTAAACACATACCATTTATTGTAGTTCGATTATATCTCAACAAAATTGATTTTAAAGTAGAGTTCATTGATGCTTTTAGGGGTCAGAACAGTGGTTACCCTTGGGTATGGGTGGGTAAGCCAAAAGAGGGGGGCCGAAGGGGGTGTCTGGGGAGCTGATGAGGGTCTGGGTGCTGGTTGTAAAGATGTGTTCCACTGGGGGAAACACACGAGGTGGGCACCTCTCTATGTATGTGATACAGCTCACTAC